TAATGTGTTAATAGAAGTTTTTTTTTTTTGAACGTCGGTCTCTGTTCCGCAATCTAGTGCCAATCACCGACGGACATCGATTGCCATTCATTGACGGCAATCAAATGTGCAGATGGGCCGGGACCAACGGCTTTACTTCCCCGAAGGAAGACGTGACCAGAGATTTTTATGCCTCAGAAAACTCCCACCGACCTCGGCTGGGATTGAACCCAGACCCATTGGGGTGAGAAAGCAGTCACACCACCGGCGCTGGCGTTAATAGAAGTGTTGATATCAATTTTCATCAATATTTCGTACTCAATATTCATGATCAGTAACCTATAAAGTCTGGTTTACTCATTAAGCAGTTGGTGGTGGATATTTATTGCAATCCTGAGGATTATTCCCAAACTTGGGGAAACCAATTAACCAAAAAGCATCAAAGCCTTGTTGCCATTGAGTACAGCCCATTTGCTTCATTTGCATTTCTAGTCACAGTGCATTGGAAAAAAAAACACACCTAGTTCAAAAATTCTCCAAACGTAAACATTACAGAAAACAGTTCAATGCAGATCACAGAGCGGTTCATGATTTTTTGAGCTGCAATAAACGGATTACCAATATATGATTGCGATATGCTCCGTAGGTTTCCTTCCACCTGGTTGCTCCATCTTATTCCAACTCCAACGTATCGCAATCCTAGACCACAGACAAACAGACGTAACTCTTTGTAAAAGTTTTTCTTGAAAACATAGTATCTCAGTAACGACATCTCTCGGGCTTCTCGCTAACTCTCTAACAATATTGCATAAAAGTTCTACAAAATGTATAGAAACGTCAAAGTGATCCGATGCCAGCGCTGTGGCGAGTAGTTCGCGGAACCGATAATATTCAAATCAACCGTTAAATGCGTGAACGAAGATACACAAATAAGTGTTACGTCTGTTTGTCTGTGCCTAGACTCTCACCTGTATGCGTGAAAAAAAATGTGAAAACGCCTTTAATGTGGTATTTTCTCTATTATGAAGGCCTGCTTTTTGTGAATCATACACACTCAGTCTAGCACGGTAAAATCTCCAACAGCCGATTTGCTCGGCATTTTCTTTTACTGGTATCTCTACAAAATATGTGTTTGCCAGCTGAGATTTCTGTAAATTCTAATTTGTTAGCTGAGTCTCGGCAATTATTGTTCTGAGCCTCGGCGAAATCATTTGCAGAACTGGTCAGCTGTTGATATCTCGGCAATACAAATAAAAGATCTTTGATGTTTTGGGCAGCATTTTTCATCATCATGAAATGCACAACTTTACCCAAGAAAGCCTCTGCATAGGACGCTCTATTTAAAAATCGAGTGCACTCTAGGCGGTAGGGACAAGAACTAACAGAAACCTTAAACAGTTGGTGCTTTGTAAGCCGAGCAATTTTGCCGAAGACCGTAGAGCTGTAGAAAATATGCCCACTAGACTGATGCAAAATTTGACTTTTTCGCTCCACAGTGCTTAAATGGTTTCAAATTGTTCCTGATTAGCCTCCCAAATTTACAACTCATTTGGTTAGAAACAGACTTCGCACAAGCCATTTGAAGTTTGCATGTAAATTACTATGGGAAATCTCAACTTTTTGTTCATTGCCTTCTAGTCTTTTTCCATATTGAGCTGCGAAACAGTTCGATAACCATTCTTATAGAAATTTTTTTCAGCTACAACTTTGCTCAAGATCATTTCTATGTAAAACGAGACAGGAAAAAGTTATTAATTATTTAAGAGATTGATAAACTTATGACATGATCAAGCAGCTGCTCTGTAGGCAACACTGTATTTTGCAGTGTGACATAGTAGCCATGATTTTTGTGTCCTATTCAACGCCGCAGAAACGCCAATGTTGCCTGCTGAGCAGTTGATTGAGCATGATCATAAGATATCAGCGGATTGAACCATTGATAACTTTCGATCCTTGCATTTAATCAAAAAGTGATTTTCAGCAAAGTTGTAGCTGGGAAAATTTCCTACAAGTAAAGTTGAAAGCTTTTGAAGCAGACCGATATGGTGAATTATTAGATAGACATGAACAAAAATGTTGGTTTTACCATAGTAATTCCCATACAAACTTCAAATGGTTTGTGCGATCTCAGTTTCTCACCAAATGGGTTCAAATTTTGAGAGGTTAGTCAGGATCCGATTTGGAATAGTTTAAGTATTGTGGAGCGAAAATTTCAAATTTTGCATCCCTCTAATGCCCACGGATCAAGAGATTTAGGCCACGTTACCAACCTAACAGCCCTAAAGTTCTTCTGTATTCTGATAGTAAATGTGAGAGTTTTTAGTTTTATTTTCATGTTATCAACTTGAATGATTTTATTGTTTCAAGTATTCAAAGATTTAGTGTTCGATACAAATACAAAAATAACCAACGATCTATTTCTGGAAACACATTATTGAGAAGGATGTGATTGTTATCTCTGAGCCGGTGCCCTGGCTTTAGCCTATCATCACCCTACCGTTAATACGACACTGGACCGTCACAAAGAATTATGAGTGCGCTTTGAGTATCATTCGAGAACGGTTGTATTGTTGCTCCGCTGCGTGCCTTTATTTTGTTTTCTGTTTTTGAGTCCTGTCTTTGTGTAGGCGTGGAGTTTTTCGGTGCTCGCATTTTGTTAGTTTTGTGTCCCGGGCGCGATCATTTGGTTTGGAAAGGTTTGTGCAGCTGTTTTTCCCCTGTTGCTTGCGTGCTTGGTGTGCTCCTGCTTCCCTTTGTTGCCGGTGTGACTCGACCGCAATCTATTGTTGGGTTTTTGCGATGAGCATTGTTTTTGTGCACGGAGTGGTTTGAAGGGGAAATGGAATAAAATGCCCTTGTTTGAGCTTGATCAGTGGCTGATCGTTGATGAGCGTGCCAGTCGGGAGAAATGAAGTGATATGGATGAGAAGTTTATCTCATGTGATTGTGCGGCTGGAGTCGATCGAAAGCAGATTGAGGTGAAGATTTGTCGGTGCTGTGTGGGGGGAGCCGATCTGATTGATCGGTGGTGTGATGTGTGCTAGAAAAGGTGTAATTTTCGTTTCGCAAAGCATAATTTTCTGTAGAATATAACTTTTGCTTGACGGAAAATGATGTTAAGATCTATGCCAGGTCATTATTGTAGAAGATCGTATCAGATAGAACGCGGGTGTAACGGTACGGAAAAAGTAATAAGTATATTAAAATTGCTTGTTAACTGCTTTCGGTGGCGTCATTTTACTTGAATTGATTTTTACCCAGGCTTGATATATCGTCGGTAGTAGCTTGGTGTGATGTAAATGGCACGGTGGCCTTAAAGCAACCGTTTTTGCTTACTGAGCAGAAGATCATGGGTTCGCTCCCAAGCCTGAATTTATCTATCCTTGGCCTCTATTGTAAAAAAAAACCATTACTGATATAATGCGGGCTGAACGGTACGGACAAAAATTTGTTTATATAATAAATGACGTACGTTAGATATTTGTCAATATATTATTTGTTAATATGACTACATGGAAACAACAGCAACTTGAGTAAAACGGAGCTCGTTTGCCTAGTGTCAAACGTTTTTGCTTACTGAGCAGAAGACCGTGGGTTCAATCCCAAGCTCCTTCGCGTTATATGATCGTTAGGACAGTTTATCGTTTACCAAAACGAACCCTGCTGCAAACCCAACTCTCTTATCTTAAGTGCAGAGGTGTTCTCGGCTTCCATCAAAGCGAGTGTCACGTCAACACATTCCTACCCACTCCTTTCTGGACCTGTGTTCGGGCGCGGCCGGATCACCAGTTTTTACACATTGAAGATTATTGCTAGTCCCAAGCATCGTCTATTGGTTCTTTGTGTAATTATAGCTGATCTGGCAATAACAGAGTAGCATCCGTGGGCGGTCAATCATGCTCATGCTCACTGGGCAGTCACAAAGAATTGTAATGAGTTCTGGAGAAAGAGCTTGTATTCCTGGGCATTGTTCACATTTTATCAACTAACACTGTTCGTTGTTAGGGTTATCACAAAGATTTTTTATAAATAAATCATGGTATGAATTCACATCGGGATGCAAGCGTCTATCTTGAAGAGTTTTGATCGTTAATTTAACATTCTGAACATTTATTTGTTTAAATATTTATCTCTCTTACAGGGCTTTAGTAGAAATTAATAATGTATTATCATCAAATGCATCTCGTAAACAGGTAGAACAACATTCTTGAATTTTCGGTATGTTATGCACGAAGGTCTAACTCCTCAGTACAATCATTTTAAATTAATGCAGACATGGCAGTTCAGTCATTTTTAAACAATGGAGACGCATAGTAGTTTTGAGAAAAACAAAACAAAAAACTTAATATTTTCAAAAATATATATCTCAAAAACGAAAGAAAACGCTTTTCTGAATTTTTGATATATTAAGTAAAAAGCTTGTGCTTTAAAAAATACAACACTAGGGTGTCTTTGGTCTCGGCACTGTAAAGTCCATAAAAACAGGTTTTGTTTTGTTTATGCGTATTAAAACTCATTTGATTATATTTTTTCTACATAGGTCTTTTAAATCCATTCATTTTCTGAACAAAGATTGAAAATCGGTTCAGTATTCAAAAAGCTGGGTATGTAGGTAAAATGTCAATTTTTTGGCCCACCTTTACCCAGGAAGGTCTAAGGGTGAAATAAAAAAAATACGGATTTTTCTATAAGAAACAAATATTCAGGGATTGAGTGATATCAGATCATTTTTTTTTCGGTGGTGCTTTTTTCATGGAATTGCTGTGTAATATGACGATTGAAAATCATATAGTTTCTGATCACATTAAGCTATTGCATCGATTATCACCATCACACACAGACAATGAAAGGGAACATAAGATTGACGTTTGACGCGTTGATGAATTGGTTCGCATCTATGACAGCAAAGAAATTGTATAACCTACAGTTGTATTACATTTTATGATTTTAATTGTAAAACAAATACACCTCGCTCTCCAATCAATTACACGACCTCAACCCTTGCGCCGCTTCGAACTCACTTTCTCCTCCGGTAGACTTTCGACTTCGGTTGAAATCCATCTGGTAGTTTAAACTGTATCACATTCATCGCAGCTGGTCGTAAACCTAGCTTGCCACACACTGCCAATAATTCGGCCCCGTTAATCACCAATTCACCGTTTCTTAACACTGACGGAACACTCTGGGAGATCCGCGTGGGCTAACGGCCCGTTGACGAATGGAGAGCGATTTTCCGCGATGGCTTTTTCCCCGCAAAAAATTCCGTTGTTTCATTATTATTTTTTGATTTAACGCTGTTGCTTTTTTTCGATTTTTGGGTGCCCGTTCTTTCGCTCGTGTACGAAGTTGGTATTTATAATTTGGTTGTATTCGATTTATGTTTTGCTTTGCTCTTTTTTTTTCAACCACCCCTCAACCCACAGAAATCCTAAAAGCCACGTGGCACACCCCCGAGCTTCTAATAAGCAAAAACGGTTTGATTATTTGCCGGCAAAGCAGGGTCGTTCGAAGCCAGCGGGGGTAACACAGCAAAAGGGTTAACAATGCTCCAGGATCCAGAAACCACCACCCCCACCCACACCATCAGTGAGCCAGAGAGCTTTTGGAAAAGTTTTGCGCCATTCAATCCGGTCGCGGTGTGGTGCGATGCGATGCGGTGCTATTTCTTCACCCTGTGTGACATTGCTTCTCCTAAACGGAAAAAAGGCTTCTACTGGCGCTCACGTTCGTTCGCTATTGTTTCGTTGCTGTTGTTGCTGCCGCCCGAGTCATAGTATTGTTCATATGTCTAGAACTTTGAACAGCGGAAAAGTCACGTTCAATCATCTCACTTTTCACCAAAGCCCAAATCTGAAAGCGGTGGTGGTAGTGGTGGTGGTAGATGTGAGTAGAATGTAAAGGAACACAACAAGGCCATGTGACGAGCCAAGCAAAACATAAACGGAAACGAAGAGAGCATCTGATGTAGTGACATCAACCAAACTTTTTTATTGCGTTTGCGAAAAATACTCGGAAGCGAAGGATAAATCAGCGACATCAAACTGAGTCGATTCCTTTCGTTTTGTTCAGACTTATGTATTTTTCATGGAAGAAGCTGCTTTTTCTCGGGTCGTAAAATGTTGGATGATGAAAGAACAATATTTTAATTCAAGGGCAAATTTTCATTACGTCGAAAGTAACAAAAGGAGAACAATATCGAGCTATCAGTGTCAATCGATGCTCATGTTATTACACTATATACTGTCCGAATATAGGATCACATCCCACTTTTAAAATTTATTTACCAGTCAAATTGCTTTTGACGTAATCACCTTCCGATCAAAAGCTGTTTCGATGCTACTTAAGTCACCCGATTTCTATGGAGATGCCGTTTGTCTTAAGTAACAGCGCAGAGAAACCCGTGAAAAGTGTACATTCGTCATTTTGCTTTACCATTATTAAGCAAACCCCACACGCATCAATATATTGAAGCGAAGGGGAATTATTGACAATAATATTGATAATGTGAATTCAGAAATATTGTCAATCTCGATGTATTGACGTCAATATAGAATGTATTGACAATACGATTATTGTCAATAAAAGCAATCGTGTAGGGTTCACTTTAGAGTGAATAAATCGAACTGTTTGTTGCTAAGATGATTCTTAGGTGGTCCTAAAATGATGAATTTAAGGAGACGTAAACACACTTTGATTTAAGTAACATTAGGGGGCATTAAACAACGTATAATAACTTTTGCTAGCGATCTACTTTGTTTAATTAAAAAATGCTTAATATGTTAAGCATTGCTATCACTATGAGATTATATGTGTTTAATTGGAAATAGAAATATCTTTTCGGTCATCAAAACAAAACTTTATTTTTCTCGGATCGGTACGAATGTTACTTTCGACACAATGAAAATTTGCTCTTGAGTTGAAGATTGTTCCTTGCCGTGATTGGATGTCATTTTGACGCGCTACACTGTGAGTGGTTTTAGAACAAATCATAACCGTTTTCTGAGCTTAGCGTAAAATGTTTAATGTTTGGAAAAGAAAAGTTGGACTTTTGACAGAGTTTTGTATTGATGTAAGCAATATTTACTCATCATTCAGGCCAAGACATGGGTACTGATTACAACTAGATATAAAAAGTAGAAGGGTCTGTGCCTAGGGGCACGAACGGAAGCTTGACGTAGGACCGCTAGTGTTTTTTTTTTTTTTTTTTAATCTTTATTTTAGAGATTTTTAGCCTGAGGCTAGTTCATCTCTTAAAGGACCGCTAGTGGACGGAATAAATGTGAAGAGCATTAAGTTCTTTTAATTGATCAAATCAGGCATAACATTTGATAACGGCACAAAAGCATTTGTAAACAAACATTCTAAGGCCTTTTACACGCGAACTAAAGTAGAACAAATTTGGGTCGTCGAATTAGATGCTAGATTGTTGCTTCTTCCATCGAAAATATCCGGCGGTGGCGATTCAAAGTTGATCAAGGTTGATCAAAATAATTTGTATCCCTGCTTCCAGTTTGATTACATGAGCATTTTGTGTGGTCGGTGGTTCTGAATATGGACAAACAGACAGATGAATTCTATTCCTACTCTTTTCTGTAATAAGCTTGGTGGCCCTGAAAAGAGCCGTTTTTTTCCAATGTTGGTGATGATTTAACCTCCGAAACCAAACAGAGTGCGTCTCTGTCACTTCAAAAACGTAGATGACATCCATGGCCGCTTACGCTTGGCTTGTTTAGTGTAGGTGACAGCATCACGGATCTCATTTTTGAGGAACACCTTCAGCACACCTCGTCAGACACCGCCACGGCAAGCCAGACGACGGATAGTGGTTATCTCGAAGAATTTGCGTTTAGTTCTGAACATGGCGATGAGTGTGTAAAGTATTACGCAATTCCATCCTCCCTATTCGCACGCGCCTGAGGATCGGAGGCGAATGCCACTTCGACTTGTTTCGTCTACTTACTACTCTCTGACGACTGTGCTGGGGAAGCAGCATATGCATGTAGGTAATTGGTGGATTTGTTAGTTAATTCGACGCTTTTGGACAATGCTGAACATTTACCAGTTTTTCAATAGTTTCTTGTTGAAAATCAACATTTGGAAGCAATTTTATCAATGCGTAGCCATATTTCTGATCGATTGGTGATAAAATTATTGAAATTGGACCAGGGGCAGCTGAGTTATTAACGTTCAAAATCTTTCTTAATTTGTTACATGTTCCATTTTCGGTTTTCACAAAGTGTACCCCCATCTAGAAATCAAAGACGTAGTCCTACAACAAAAATATGAAATGCATCCTACTAAATACGTGCCATCTACAAAGCAGGAATTGCTTTGATGATGGAAGTGTACACGCAGTCCCAATATACATTTAATATCGGTACTACGTGTATGCGGAGCTTGTTGTAAGTGAAAGTAACCTCGGAATGGACGTGAGTGACCAGGCATTCTGAAATGGGTTACTGAATCTCAACAGAGCTATCACCTTTCAACTTCCGGGCTAAAATTGTTTGCAATGGGATCAGTATAAGATAATAATAGATTATATTGCAAACATTTTTCTTCTATAAAAACACTGCCAGACAGTGGAAGTTGGATTGTATATACATACATACATACATACATATATCATTCAGGCAAAGACATGGGTGCCTTTTGCTGTGAAGTAATTACTTCCGTATTATTTGCAACAATTGTATTTATGGGTGTTTTTTTTGGGCCTGCCCCAACCCCTTGTCTCAACAGAAGATCATCGTTCGTAGCTCTCACACTAGCATCAGGACGATTAACAGCCACTTCTAACATGGGGAACAGACGCTGCTTCTATCTGCCCTCAACATGGAGAACAGACCCTGTCAGCATTGGACTAAGGTCCCACAGGTGTTGGTTACCCGATTTTTACTATAGTTACTTATACCCCAGCCAGCAGCTGGGGAAGTAGAGATAGGAGCTACTAGACCATAGACTAAGACATTTAATTAGCAGTCCTAAGTGCACCTTTAGAATTGATAAAACGATCCATAACCAAATTTAAAAAACACTCTTTATAAACACCCAAATGGTTCATAAAATCCCGGTGAAATTACCTAAAATAGTGAGAATGATCCATAAGAAATATCAATATGATTCATATTTTATGCAAAATTTAGCAACACAATTGTAAAAATGTACCGCTTAATTTTTTTTTTAATGTTCCTTGAAATTGTAGGATTTACCCATAAACATATTGCAAATCTGTTCAACAATGAACCATAATCTAATGAAATTGAACCATCGAAAATAAATTTTGCGCACTAAACCATATAGGATCCATAAATTAAAGGGTGTACCGTTTAAAATCCGCACACACTCAAATTGATCCGTGGAGTAAAATTAATTGAAATTTTGCGCAGACATAGTTTAATGTGTATTGTTTACACTCTGTGTAAACACACAAAAGTTTCCAAAATGGCGACGAAAGAACAGTGCGTACGCGAAACAGTTTTGCACGAGTACTTTGAGAATAAAGATCTGTCGCATCGCATCGGAATAAGGATCTATCACGAATTCCACGGTGTCTGGTATCATAAAACGGTTGAACCAGGCTCAACTTTTCAAGCCAATTGAATTCAACTGAGTTGATCATTTGACTTGTCTAGTCTAAACCCAGCTTAAGAGCGTGTGATAGAAAACAGCAAATCTCACTCTCATTTTATTCCCCTTCGCTCACAAGCTCTGAAGCTCAGTGGAATGATATAGGGTAGAGAACTGCTTCGGCATAAGCGCCCATTTTGGGCCTATCGAGCAGAAAACTTCAAATAAATCCATAATTTCAGAGTTAACAAGTCAATTATGCGTCTGGTACGATACTTTAGTTAATAAGCTTCAGAACGAAGTCAATGAGAACATGTGATATGAAGGTTTGCACCCATTATTCCCAAAAACAAAAGAAGTGCTCTGACCGAATCAATTATTATCTTCATCTCATAGGCCGAAGTGAACTCATTGGCGTTTCAATTGCGTTTCAATGCGTTAGGCCGAGTTTGGCGTCAAGAAGCAGTGTTAGACTTTTGACAATATCTCAATGATTGGTTTCTCTTTATCAAATCTTACGGTACGTACGGAAAGGTAAATAAATTTGGAAGCCATCAGTAATAATAACATTCCGTTTGGTGCTAAACTGCGCTAGATTAAGAAAGACTAAGTTGGGGTTGTGCGTAATAGGCCGGAAATTGGGTAGTTAACCCTATTTCTTTAATTTTTGCAGGCTCTGACTGGGGGTGCCTTGTGGATTGTTCATGTCGTTGCCTCGGACCGACTTCTTCGCCGGAATCG